CACACACACACACACACACACACACACACACACACACACACACACACGTGTTATTTGTACACACACTGTTTTTGTTCATGCTATGAGACAGAGATGACACTGCCGTCTCTACTCACCCTGGTGGTGCGCACCAGCTGCGCCACTCTCTCGGTCTTCAGCAGCCTGCGAGCCAGAAAGCCTTTCACAGCTGCTGCCAGCAGGGGGTGGTAGTGCTCCGACAGCGGGCTGGAGGGCTGAGGAAGAGGAGGAAGAGCAGAGAACCAGCGACAGAGGGGTGAATGATGAAGACCAGAGGGGAACTGAGAGGAGAATGCTAATTCCATCAATGACAACCAATTAATTTCCCACGCAGATTCTCAAGGTCTTTTGGTTGGCATCTGTTTAGCCCATCAACGCAAGTGGCTCATTGTAATTGGGAATAATAAGCAGAATAATAATGTCGCACTTGTTGATTCTAAAGACGTTGCATTAAAGGGGCATGTTTGTTGAACGACTCAAGTCTAACTGAAGCTGAGCTGCTGTACGTGAATACATACGAGAGGGCAATAACAGATGAGAGGGGTTACTGATGAGGATTAAGACATCGAGGGGGGGGAGAGTATTTGTTTCACCTGAGTGTGTCAGCTGACAGGTGACGAATAAAACCAAAAAAAAAAAGGAGTCAACAAATGTGATATTGATACCTGAGAGAGGGCAGAAAAGGTCAACGTGTCCCCAAGATGTGAGCTCGACATGGAGCAAGGAAAGGACACGCTCTGGAGGCGGCGGGAACGCACTGCCAATGCCTGAGAGAGAGACAGACAGACAGACAGACAGATAGATGAGAGAAAGGAACAGGGGGAGAAGTGCATGTGTGTGTTTAGGCACGTATGCGTGCATTTGGGAGCAGGCAAGGTTGGAAAATATTGAATTGGAAAGGACAGCAAATGAGACAGGAGGAAGAAATTAATTGGGGGTAGAGAGAAAGAGACAGAAGGGGAGAGATGGGGTACAGAGGCGAGAGGGATGGGATGAGAGGAGGAGGAGAGAGGGATGACGGGGATGATGAGACAGGAGAGATGGAGGAAATGAATACAGCCAGAGAGTAAAAATGACATTAGAGGAGGTATGAGACAAAACAAAGAGGGGGATGTGAGGAGACGGGATAAAAAGAGAAGGGGAAGGGACCATTAGCGGTGGCACTCAACGGGACGATCTGGCACTTAACCACAGACGCTCATGAATTAAACAAATTATCCTTCCCCTTTCTGTGTCAATTCCCTCGGCCCCCTCCTCCCTCGACCAGAGGGTCCAGCCAGCTCGCTCTCTCTCTCGTCACATCACGAATGACGGAAGGACAGAGGGGAGTCGAAAAGAAGTCTTTTTTTTTTTTATTAAAGAGTTATGTTAATTATATTGTTGTTAAGGATACATAAATGAAACAGAGACTGTGATTAATAGAGCAAGGACACTGGCCAAGAACAAATACAGACACAAGCTGCAGAAACAAGAACTGGCTGCCAGAGAACAGCAGGCGTCCTTGAAGTCTTGCACACACGGACACACACACACACACACACACACACACACACACACACACACACACACAGGCGACCATGCCAGCTCGCCTCTTAGGGATGTAATGAAACATTTATGGAAGAATCCCTGTATGTGTTTTTTTACTGGGGAGAGTCTGAAGGTCTCTTGTAATGAGCAGATTTCTGTAGTCTGCCCACGACCCCGGTCTCCAGAAGCACGCTCTAACAGGTAGGGCGACAGCGTGTGTGTGTGTCCACACATGGAGCAGTGCCAGAGCCTTTTAAGGGTCTGCTTCTAGTTTCTAAAGAGCATTTAGGATCAACGTTATATCACAGCTTAGCATCGGTTATTCTATTCTCTATTATATTAAATGTATTACTCATAGGTGACTTTGGGTGGAGTCAAAAGCCTTGGTAGAGTAAACTACGGTTGCCTTTACAGGAATGATGCGGTGCTAGATCTGTACAGCAATAGGTGATGCAATTGAATGCAAGAAGCGGGCCAATGGGATGGAGGAAGTATCAATATGACTGCGTGAACCGTGTCTGGTCGTCAGAAACATGTCGTTCCAGGGTTTCTTTCTTGTGGTTTCTAAAAAGGTACAGCTGGCAATATTCTATATTTTTCTTGCTGTGAACAAATCCCACGGGGCTCCCCTGTAGCACAGGGATTAAGATGGCGATCGTGAACCGCAACGTCTTCAATTCAACCTCAGCTGGAGGCCTTTGTTGCATCTCTCTTTCTCATTTCCCATCATCTCTCTCCACACAACACTCACAGCTGTAAACTTTGGTGTCAAATAAATTCCTAAAAATCTGTTTAGCAAACGTTACACAAATAGAAGTACATAGTGTACTTGGTGTGGACTACTTTCAGTGTTTCTCAAATGAAATTTAAGACGCTTGAGGACTTTTTAATAACCTGCTCACCTGCAGCAGTTCTTCTTCTTGTCTCCTGTGCTCATCCTGCAGGGCTCTGACCTGAGCGGCGTGGGCCTGTTTCAGTTCCTCCTGCTTGTCTCCTCGACTGCTACGGCCTCCGTACCGCGGCACGGCAGCTGACGGCAACAGACGATGTGTAAATAAAAACAAAAGAAAAATCTGGACAAATGGAGCAGCATGTCCGTGTCTTTGAGGGCAAGGATTATGCCGGGTGCTGATCCGATTTATTTTCTATTCATTTATTTATATCAATTTCATCTTTCCTATTGTTTTCCCAATACAACAGAGCTATACAAAGCACACTTAGCCTACATTGCCTTACCTCTGGGAGTGCTGGAGTTGGGTCTGACCACGGAGCCTGCTCCTCTGCCGGGATCTGAACTCCCGTCCCGTGTCTCCTCCGTCATGTGCATGAGCAGCCTCCGTTTCACCCTGGATGTCCCGCCCTGACCCTCCCCCCCGCTCTCTGGCGTGAGACGTTTCTCCTGAACAAGATGACCTTTTGAGCCCGTGTCGGATCCCGACCCGTCGCGGAGCCACAGGCCCGACGGTGCGTCCACGTCATACGACTGGTTGAGAGACGGGGACCGGGTGGAGTCGTGACCGTCTCCAACCGTCTCACTCCTACTCTCTGCCGGACGGTTACTGGTATCCGAAAGCACCGAGACGTTATGCGAAGCCGCGGATGGAACCTTTCTGAACACATCAGGAATTCGCAGCCGCTGTGTTACAGAGAGGATGCATTTAGCTGTAGGCCTTCTACTGCCGCCATGATGTCCATCAGTCTTTGTAAGTCCTTCTTTACATCTCTTCTCCTTTCCTCTCTCTGTAGCTAAGGTTTTGACTAGCGTGAGCTCTATGAGAGGAACATCGTCTGTGTCACAACGGCTCAGTTCAGCTCCTGTATCTTCCTTCATTTTAGTGAAATTGTCTAATGATCGTCCTCCCGGCCACTCTCCGTACCTTTGGTGTTGCTCTGCATCATTGCTATCATCATCATCATCATCATGTTGACGCGAGTGCTTGATGCCTTTCAAACTTAACTCTCTTTGAGTGTTGCTCTCAGTTTGGTTCTCCATGTTTTCTGTCAGTGTGGACTCCAGATCCGAGATCAGTACTTTCAGACTGGACAGGTTGGACTCGAGCTGATCTATGTGCTGTGAATTCTTGGCTGAAAGACTTGTAACATCACCTTCAACCATGAGATTCACAGCGGGAGGAACTGCTGTGGGACTGCTGTTACGTGCCAGGTTCACTTCTTCAATCAAACCAGTCTTGACAAAAACCTCCTTCGAGGTCTTGGCCCCATTAAGAGTTTCTCCATCTTGGATACTGCCTTTGCTCTTGCAGTGCACAGGACTCCTACAGAAATTGGGGGCTGGGATACTGTGATATTTCCCTACACCGTTATAAAAAGCTGCGGGACAGGTGGTCAAGTAAAAGGCTTCCTGAACAGGCGAGGTCACGGACGATGTGGGCGGTCGCAGGAGGACGGTGCTGATTTGTTTGGGCTCTGTTATGACCTCTTGTGAAATGTTCAGTTTATTATTTTTGAAGATTGTTTCCTCCCCAACAGTAGTAATTTCCTTCGTATGTCCATCTCCGGTTAAATGTGTGCTTTCAGAGTTAAAGTTGGACTTTTCCCCGAAAAACTCACTCTCAATCGTCCTCTCATTTTTCCAAGATCTCTTTGCCGACGTTTCCTCCGACGGGATAAAAGTGCCTTTCCTCTCTGGAGTTTTCTTCCCCTCTGTGGTCACGGTCCTATTATAAGGGAACTCGTCATTCTCCTTATCAGAGAGGCTCTGCTCCTCCGCCCTCGTCTGTTCTTGGGTCCTCTCCTGAATTCTAGTGTTCTTGGCGTGGTTCCTAAGCATCCGCTGGCACTGCCGATACTCCTGAGATTTCTTCAGCAAGGCCTGGAGGCTCAGACGATAAGGCTCCTCCGATGGCGTCGCTTCGTCGACATGGTTGTCCGCTGGCTCGGATTCTGTAGAGTCGTGCTGAATATGCAACTCTGCTGTTGGACTGTGATGAGTGCTTAACGTCTGTGATAACTCTAGAGTGTCTGTAAGGCCGCTGTTTTCTGATGATGAGACTGGGCCCTCAATCGTGTCCACATAGTGATCTTTGTCAACGTCGAGTACTGTGCTAAAGGGAAGCTCATCTCCACCCTCTGTGCTCTCAGATTTCTCGACTGGTGAAGGCTCACATATGACTGAATCCTCCTGGTGCAAGGTGCAACAAATGTCTTTTACAACTATTAAGTTATTACAGAAGGATGATTCCAGACCACTCCTTTCCAATTCCTCTCCATCTATGGGCGGGTAGTTAATAATATCCGGCATCTTGGCGATTGTGTTTGAGGTGTTGTGAAGGAAAAAGCCCCCCATATTATTGTTATTATTATAACAATAAGCTTCCTCTGAGGAGCCAAAGCCAGGGCTCCCTCTCTCTGCATCAATCCTTCCAGAAACACCGGTGGTGTTCTCAACATTGTTGTAGGTCACATGACCAGAAGATGGTGACTGGTGGATTGGCTGTGATCCCGGCTGGCTGTAAGGTTGCTCAATAAGGCATCCTTCCTGCTCACTTTGCTGAGGTGTCACTGAGGCAAAGAAGGCACTACATGTAGTTGATGTCAACGGATGAAGAGAAACACCATCCTGTTCTTTCCTTCCGGGTGGTGGTGAGCGCAAAAGACTACCACTTGTTCCTACGAACACATTTCTCTGTGACGCAGCTCCACCGATGGTGTTATGGGAATATGAAGATGTTGTGTTAACCTCAGACTCTTGAAGCAACTCTTCTAGTGTTGGCATCTTCCTCAGCTGCAATTCACAAGAGGAGACAATTAGGCCGAGTCACAATAATTACTATATCAACTTATCGTACGTGATCTTCATCATTTTTGTTATTCAATGAAACAGTATGTGTTTGTATATAACCAAGTAGTCTAAGTTGACTTAAGGGAAACACAAATACATGAGAAGAGCTGAAAAGTCAGGACTTATATTACCTGAACACTGTGTAGGATAGTTTGAACGTAGGCCATTCTTGAATCATCCTTTAACGTTGTGTGGACAGCAGCTCTCTGCGCTGCCTCTCTGTGTTGCTGCATCTCCTCTCTCTGCGTCCCGGAGAGCTGTTATCATCAGAAAGCAGACATGAGGTGTCACGCACGTTGAATAAAACAGGGTTGGCGCTCATGATTATTTTCCTCGATTATGCTGTTCTTTATTCTTTTAGATTAACCAGTTACTTGTTGGTCTAAATGTCTAGATATAGTGAAAAGTGTCTATCACAAATCCCCAGAACCCCCTTTAAGGCGATAGCTTGTATTGTCCAACCATCACTGAAAAACTTTACACTGATATAAACAATATAATATACATCTGACAAGCTGGACAAACTTGTAGCATTTTGCTTAATAACTTCTATGAATAATTAAAAAAAGAGGAAGAATAAGAATTTCTATTAATAATGACTTATCAGTTCTTTAATATTTTTCTTTCACTGTACTAATTGTGTCAGCACTAATCCACGTGACAGTCACTGGTAGTCTTATCTAACGTTCAAAGAGACAACGTGAGACTGTTCAGGCTTCAACAGTGTATTTAGTGCGTCTCTGCGTCTTGTTAGCTAATATTAAAACCAGCAATCATGTTCATTTCAAAAGAAACATCGTCAGGCTGAAGTCCTACCAGAGGAGGAAGGATGGATCGTCCATAGAAGCGGATCAGAGAAGAAGCAGCTCGAGGTGTATGGTGTTCCTCCTTACTTGTCCTCAGATGGGAGAGGCGATGCTGCACAAACCGGTCGTAGTCCTCCATCAAGTGGCATTAGGGTGGGGTCGGTAGTCGACAGTTTAAGGACCAACTAACTTTAATATATTAACGATATCTTGATCGATTAAGTTTTGCTAACGTTAGCTGTTGAGCTGCTAGCTAGCTAACGGTTTAGCGGTGTTGTTACTAGCGTTTAATAATGAAATACAGGAAATATGTAAATCTAGTTAAAGAAGAGAAAAGAAGCAAAAGTAGAGCCGCTCTCCAGTGTTACTCATGGATGAAATGGAACTACAATAAAGTCTAGCGAGCTACCAAACAACACAATCTCCACCAGGATGGATCTGTGTTTACATTTTTACCCGCCTCTCCGCGCGGAGCAACACACAAGCGACAGTTTGGAAACCTGTGAAAACCCGGAGTGGATCCACAGCACGGATATGGACATACCAGATTAAAAAACAACGAATATAAGAATTAAACTACAACACACGACTTCAATTCACAAACAATCACATCAAATCAACCGAACAAATCGAAACATCCTTCTATGTTTCAACCTTATTGCGGAGAAGCTTGTCTTGATACTGATTAAACTGGCTCCGCGCTCCATGTTTTCACAGGATCCAGAGCTGTTGAAGACGAAGGGAGCCGGTGATAACTTCACACTGCCACCTATAGACGTGAACGGCTAAACACGCGCGTGGCCTTTATAAGACAGCACTGAAGATTAAAAAAAGTATAGGTCAAATTGTGCAGTATATTTCAGCCTCGAGTTTTGGCCTATTGGCACCCCACAAATTGAGTGCTAAAATAATGAATTATTCATTATTTAAAATATGTACATTCCATGTTCTCTTAATCCTTTAAACAATTATTCCCTCTCAAAATGATGTATTATTGTCATTCATCAGTGTTTGTTTAAAATCAGAGAAAGTCAGTGCCTCCAAATAGCAGACCATTTGAAGTGTTCACAGCAGAAAAAATCGCAGGTGAACCGAAAACATTACAGCTCTGTTCCCCAAGCTATTGCAATGCAATGCAGCAATTAATATTATCATCACACGTGGGTTTGACAAGTCAAAATGTCTGCTGTGAAAAGACACATTTATCAAGATGAATATGTATATACTGTTTAGTTTATATCTCAAATAAATAGATTACACACAGATATTTGTATATGTCTTTTTTAACAGCAGGACAGACTTGAAGATTACGTTTAAAAGCCTGTCAGTTTAATTATATTGATTCTTTATATTTTCATTTATAGGAATGAGGACACTCTTTGTCAAAAAAAACATCCAGTGTATCCTGATTTAGTGAACAAGACACATGTGCAACATCAACAACATGGTATATTTGCATTGCACAGAAAGAAAGACCATAATATGGTTGTGAATAATAATATAATAAACAACTATGTATGTTAAAATTATAACTGTTATATTCCAATTACCAAAGACACACAAAAGCTGTTCCATTTCAAAACATGTTTATTGGTCATATACAAAATAAAGTAAGCTGTTTATCAACAAACATACAGTATATACATCAATAAATTAAAAGATGCATCAGACCGATGATGAAACAGTTAATTTCATGATTACCAACACCTTGTCATCATCACTTACGTATCTACAAATTGCCAAAAAAAAAGTACAATAATTTAGTTGAAGATAAATACTTACAAAGACTGTCACATTTTAAGTATTTACCCATGTAAAGTACTATCGTAGAATAATTTATTACACCCCATACAGAAATATTACAAAACACAGAATTTCCCATTACAAGGGCTCACTACTGTTCTACACTTTTAAACTGATACTTTAAGAACACGAACATGTCCCCACCAGTAAGCTGGCCGAATGCTCACCTGTGGACACATGTGGTTTGATGGGGGAAACAAATGTTACCGAGGGTAAAATCAGAGAGGGAGACTGTTACAACAATAAGATAAAAATAAGTGAATATGATGATGTGAACTGTTATGTTAGAGGCTGTGCAACTGATAAGGGCCGGGGCAGTAGAGAGAGAGGAGCAGAAGGGGGTACTAAACAAACATTATTGATGAAAACACCAAACAAACGATCAAAGGAATCCTTGGTTCATTTACTCTCATCGATCGGCTTTGGAGGTGGGTGAAAGGGCTTTTAGAGTCTTGTGGCGTGATTCACTAGACAGGAAAACAACCAAATGACTGTGTACCAATTTGCCAAGCAGCAAGATAAGAAGTTAATGATTTGCATCGTCTAGAAGAATTGGATGTTTTTGAGGAAGAGCCTGCTGAGTTAACTCACAGACACTTTGTAAAAAAGGGGAAGGGATAAGTGGAGTGGGAAAGCGTTTTATCAGATGTGTCTCCACCACTCCCTTCTGCCTCTAAAATATTTATAGATGTGGTTTAAGAGCTGTTGCTTGGGTTTGAGGAGAGATGTATTTTCATCAGGAGGTCATGACCCCTGTACGGGCAGCGGAAAATAAGGTCAGCGTGTCTTCCCAGCTCATAAACTCTGTTATGAAAAACCACCAAGCTGCCCTGTCTGATAATCGCTGATGATCACCGTTGGTCAGCTGATCATGTCTGCAGAGTGAAAATCAGGAAGAAACGTCTGCGATGTATCACCTCATTTGATTCGAAGACCTAACACCCTGACCTGACACACAGCTGCACACTGGAAAAATACAACAACCACAAAATGTTCACGTCTCGAAGACAAAAACAATAATCTTCTTCAGTTTGACTGCAGGCCTCGCGTGACAGCTACTTTGCCTTGTTCTCAACTGGAATTGATTTTATGTTTTCACAGTTAATAGTTAAGTGACAATGATAAGCCAGATTTAAAACAGAGACCAACTGGAGCTGGCATTTATAACCAAGAATAAACTGCTAAACACTCTGTGTATGTACGGTCTTTAAACCTGTCACATCACACAAGTACCTGCAAATATAAAACAGACAACTTGACGTGACCGCTACGAAAGTGTCACTGCTGATGTGTGGCAGGAGTTCTAATTTTGCCCTTCCACAGTTTGCATAATTGGAAATGTCTATTAAACAGCAGCCACCATGTTGACACATTTATGCTTACAGAGTACACATCCATTTTAAACAAGAGGACCACAGACGTACAGACTGGGTGGAAACATACTGTTTGACAGCGGTACATACAGTACGCACACTTTAACAAGCACTGGAAAGGTTCATATTCTGCTTCAACTTGACACAACCCGAAACTTAGTTGTGTTTCTTCCTATTTCATATACCACGACCACACACACACACACACACACACACACACACACACACACACACACACACACACACACACACACACAAGACCTGCCAGCAAAAAACGCAAATGGAAATACAGACCGGAAGCAACAAACAGAAATCCAGTAGATAAACAAAACATTGCATTCTGACCATAAAAACAGGACACGTTAAAAAGAAAATACAGAGCACAGATATACTGGGTGTGATAGCTATATTTGCTTGAATACCGTGGAGTTTTTTCCTGTGCTGTGACATGATAGACGTGATACCATTTCACGGTAGACTGAACCCGCAAACCAGTGTTAAGATTATGGAGAAATTACATTCTTAAATCTCAAACCCATTTCCCTTCCAGTGCCTTTGTTCACCTGTTTGATATTATATGAATGTAGGGTGCAGGTACAGACATACACCTCGCTGCTCTTAATAACTGCACAGCAGTAGGATAGTTCACCCTTTTGTCCTCACAGTGGAAAAGAAGTGGTTTCAGGTAAAAGGCTGCATGTACGTAGGCTACCGTTAATTATATTTCCATAAATGACAAGGTCTCCGTTAGTTTAAAAAAACAATTTGAGGCAATTGTACTTTGTGAAGTAAACCTAACTCTTTGACAGACAAACCATTAAATAGCGTAATCATTTTTTTCACTTGATAAAACACCAAATACATTACCAAATTAGTTTCACTTCCCTGACACTTACAGAACAATCCAAAAACAAACAAAACAGGAACGTTATATACACAGAACTATATAAAATATACACAGCAAAAACAAGTATTTTTTTATCACACACTACAAAAATAACGTACTGAAGGAGTGGGGGTGGTGCAGCCATCGGGGCCCGTTGTTGAGTTTCACATCTCTGACACCTTGCCAGACGAATACACAATAGCATGAAGCTTGTGAGGTTAACCATTACACTTCCTCCTCTCATCCGCCATTCTGTCGTCAATAACGAGCTTTCAACACCGCAAGGACCGAAATAAAACCACAGCGACATGTTCGGGGAAAAAAGCAGAAAATGGGCCAAAAGTGAACTTAAAATGTACAAATCGTGAGTGCAGATCACGAGCAGAGAAACACCCGATCTACCACGTGTACAGTGCTGGAGCTGAATGATGGGACCGCGAGGACAAAGATCTTATGATTAGAGAAAGAGTGCAGAGTTACCCACAGTGACATCACCCGCTTTGGCCTGAAATCAAACAAGGATCAAAGTCATATCCATGAAATAGTGAACGCTATAGTTACCTCGTCACATACCTACACAGCACAGCACACGCTAGCTCACGGTTACACACACGTGCCTAGTCACTAGAGTTAAAACAAAGCTATTCAGTAGTTAAGCCACTTTTGGTACAATTGCAAAATAGAGAGATACTGTATATCAAATGGATTTTGTTCTACCTTTTTTTACAGGTCGTTTACAAACAATGCAAAGGTAATTGTCTTTATAAAATTCCAGACTCTACCACACAGATACAGATTCTTGGAGTATAGAACACCACGTAAGACTACTTTTATGGTAAAACTCGTGTGAAATGACGTCCCATTTGTGTGACTGGAAAGTCAGAGAGATATCTTCGCTGGCTGACTGCATTGTCAGAAATCCCCCCCCCCCCCCTCTGTACTTGCAAAGTGAGCTTTTGTGGTTAAAAGCAAGATGGCTGCAACACAAACAGCTTTGATTTGAGGCCAGAATGTTGCTGTAGGTGTAATAATAACCTCCATGTCTGAGTCAGAAGACAATCAAACTCATAAACATGCAAACCAAGTAATTAACGTAAAACAGACGTTTGGACTCAAAATAGAACATTAAGCAAAAAGCATCTCCTGTGCAAGAAAACGGAGCTGTTTTGCAGACACTTCTGTTTTTTTTTTGTTCTTTAGGTAAATGAACTGCCAGTCACACAGATGGGTGTTGATCACATAATTAATCCTGCTACACAGCTCATACAACAATGCACAGTTAAATGCTGTCACAACCTGATTCCTGATTGGTCAGTGTTTCACATTAAGCACAAGCAAACACTGAGTCTCCACAGTTCACATCCTCTTGCCTTCTTCTTGATGCTTGTCAGTGGGCCACCAAGGCACTTGCCCTTCCAATTATTACTTCAATATACTTTTGAGAGGAGCTCAAATGTTTCAAATGGCCATTTCCCTGAAAAATCCTACAAACTTAGATAAGGTCAGTGGCTTCCAGTAATTATTATCCCCTTTTCGCTATAGTGTTTTTTTTTTGTTTTTGGCTAAATATCAATTGCATTATACCCCCCCCCCCTCTTTCTGTTAGATCCAGGAAGTTCTCTGTGTAATGAAGGGAACCAGTTGGAATCGAAAAAAATGGCGGCGATAGAATAGGTGAGAGAAAGAGAGTCGGACGTAGGAAGTGAAGAGACCGTAGAAAAAAAACCCAGCTAACTAAATATAGCGATACCAAAACGAACACGCGCCACAGAATTTCACAGAATTCCTGATAACAGTCGACACACAGAGAATACACTTTGGACCTCATGTGAATGACAACACCGTACAAACCAGTAAAAATACAGTTACCACCATTGTGTAATATATATATATATGTATATATATATACATATATATATATATATATATATATATATATAGTTCTTTTGTGAAAAAGGCTCTTGGCTAGGGTCGAGCATGATGGGACTTCTCTTCAGCCACTGAAATCAACGGGTCACAGGAAATCTTGTGAATTCTTTTGGAGCTCAGGGACCCAACACTCTATAACCAACACATTAATAGCATCTTTTTTTTTCAGTCTAATACATATGCAACGCATGTGTTAGAATATTTCTGTTGGTCTAGAGAATTTAAACGTTCTACATCTTGGTTCGGGAAAACGAACACTTCAAATCTAGTGTGTAACGGGATTATTATGAATTTACAGATATCTTGATCTACCAGCAGTAAAACGTGACACTGAACACTTGACTGACGTAACTGAACAAAATTGCACGATTGAGTGTTTTGAGGTATTGACATTTCCCCCCCTGGCCTGGAATAAAACTAATCTCAAATAATTTGACTTTTCCAGGTTTTCAGTGACCGTAGGAAGTCTGTGTATCTGTCCTGTGCTAGATGATCATGCGCTGACCAAGGACTTCCATCTTTATAGTCTCAATAATCTTCCTCTGCTTCCATCCTCTCCTCCACCTGCACTGATCTGAGACAGGTGACAGGAACATGCTGAGGCCACGTGGTGGAGACTGCCTAGCAGTTTGACCTCAGTGCAGGTGGAGGAGAGGTGGCCAGCAGAGAGGAAGGATTACATCCCGACACACCCTCACCTGTCTTTCCCTCCCTCAAAACCGAGCATCTGTTTTTGACTTCACTATTGTAATTACACTCGTGGCTGTTGCCATCTTCCCCGGTATGAGTGGACCAATGACTGATGACGCCATCCCTCCCCCTCCTCCGACCCCTCCGGCCCTCACCCCGACCCCGACAGTTGGGCTCCGTGCCACAGTCCTGGCAAAGGTCTGTAATGCCTCGTACTTAGACCTCAGAGCTTCCAGCTCGATTCGCATGGAAGCATTCTCGTTGGCCAGTTTGTCCACCTCCTGCTGCAGCTGGGACTTCTGCTTCTCCAGCTCCTCCTTCTGGGTGACTCGCTTCACCCGGCAGCTGGCGGCGTAGCCCCGGTTCTTCAGGGTGCGCCGCCGTTGTTTCAGTTGCAGGATCTCATCTTTGGTGAGCCCTCTGAGGTGCTGGTTCAGCTCCCGCACCGACATGGTCACCAGCTCGTCGTCTGTGAGGCTGGTGCCATTCTCCCCCGGCTCACGCTTCACCTGCAAGGAAACAAGAGGAGGACAGGGGAGTGAGACAGAACGACATAGCAAAACACAGAGAATCCCGTGTAAAACATGCACTCTCTCACCTTCAAGGCTTTATTTCCTTTGTTAGTCGTCGTCATGCCACAAGTGCCTTGCTCTTCTGAACAGACCTACGGAGACGCAAGACAGTGCAAAACATAAGCAAAGAAACACCAGAAAAGAGAGCTGAAGCTCTACTAACAGCATTAAGAAATACGATCACGTGTTACGATCACGTGTTTATAAGAACAATAACCTGTGTTTTTTAGATCAATAAGAACAAAGTTACTCTGTGTCAATACCCACCAGGCTCAGTGGAGACACACCAAATATAAATCCCCTGTTGGAGGACAACATGTTACAGGATCATGCATCTGTGTCACAGCGTGAGTGAAAGTGACACACAAACTTGTCATAGAATTTCCCTGACTTCCTGTTTCCTGGTGGTTACACTGCAGTGCCCACTACCTTTGTGTCGTTGATCTCTTATTGGTTGGCTTCAGGCCAATAGGAATGAAACGAGCGTAAAAAGAAGAGGAAGTGGTAAAATGTGTGGGAAGGACTCCAGGGGAAAACCAACTGTTAGAGCCCTAACACACACACACACACACACACACACCTACAGACTGTACTTCTTCACCTACAGTTATAAAAAATGAAGGCAAACCAAATATAATGATGTATACGCATTTGCACCGAAGGGGAAACAAGTGACAAAAGGATGGAGACAAAACAGAGTGAGTCAGAAGTCAACAAAGAGGGAGCCTGGAAGAGCAAGAGATGAGATCAGACCTCAGAGCGCACAGCTCCACTGACGAGCATCTCCACAAGCTCTCAATGAGATGCTTTGTGTGGTGCGTTGATCTGGCTCTCATCTCTCAGACCTGTGTGTGTGTGTGTGTGTGTGTGTGTGTTCGATAAAGGGCGGCTATTGTTGCTGCTGCTGCTGAGCGATCATCATGAGACCAGTCATGATGACTCAGCAGATTCCTGATCTCACTCTCCACCCCACCCCCCCTCCTTGCACACACATTTCTGCTCGTCCCTCATCCCGTACATTTGATTGGCTGAGTTGCCGCTGTCTTCAAAGCCTAAATACACCTGCTTTTCAGTCAAACATCCACACCTGATACTGCTGAATAAGAACTTTAGTTTAACCAGTTTGCTGATGAAGGAAGGCCTGTTGTCTTCCTGTGTGGATTTCACACCAGAGACACTTTAAAATGCAATACTGCTTCAGTCATTCACAAGTTGGGTCATTTAAAAAAAGCTTTCTGGAAGTGATGACATGAGGCATCGCGTCTGTTCTCGTTTCCTTCGTATTCTTTTCTGTCAAGCCGCACGGCACCGAGCGTGCCAGTGAACCTCCCCCACAATGCACCTCTGTCGGTCTTTGAGGGTGCGTGAGTGTTTGTGCGAGCGCTGCCACAAATCCTACGGTTTATAAATAGCTGTAGATCAAAGAAAAACGTATGCTACAAGAACATACAAGTAGTCATACATGCGCACGACGCGCGTCAAATGCACAGCAAGTGAAAATTGTGTCAGGAATTCAGTGAAATAAGGAAAAACGTGTCCTCGCATGGGAGCTTTACTATAATGGAGCTTCATTCAAGGCGTTTGACTTCAAGCACTCCTTAATGAGTTAGGGTAATTAAAATGTTTTTTTTAATTTCACAATGTATATGTAGCGCTTCTTCTCAATAAACAAATGTCTTCCATACACATGTACCACTGCAGACTCCCACAGCTGGAGGTGCATCATCGCACAATAGATGGATCAAAGACATGAAGACTGAGGGTGGATGTTGGGGGTGGGGGTAGAGAAGAGGAGGGGGAGAGGCTGTTTTCCTGCCAGGCACTGGTTTATTTCCCCTGTGCCCAAACCCCAACCCCCCCATAACCCATCTACATACAAACAAAAAGCATGCCAGCAAGCACACACACACACATTCCCCTGCTGCCATGCCAGTGGGGCACAATAAAACACACACGTAAAACGCTCTGCTGCAAGTACACAAACATACAAATGTAGTTTTGTTTTAGGTGCTAAACAATACTTGCGGTACGTGCGTAAATTGAGTTTGCTGTGCGTGCACGGTTCAGAGGATTTATTCCATATTTGACAACATAATTAAAATGTCTCAGATAAAACTTGAGAATGGAATTGCTGCAGGTGCACGAAAGGTACTTGTAGTGTCTAAGAAGCTTCTTCGTAATCATTGTGTTAGCTTCAGATAGCATGCAGTAGTATTCTCTTCATCGATTCCACTCATTACGGGGTCCTTGTTGCCGAATAGTCAAATTGCATTTTTTGAGATATTATTATATTGAAGATATCAACTTTAATAAAATAAAACACAAAGAAAAATAGCATCTGTTCACATTTGAAGACCTTGAACAAATTGATTTTTGGCGTAATAAATACGACTTCTTATCACTAGAGAGGTGGTATTTGCGGTGTTAGTACACCGGCAGAGCAGGATAGTAAATTAAGTTTGGGGCTATTTCATCAAGGTGGGACAAAATAAAAGCTGACCTACACCAGAGCATAAAGCTGCAATAAATTACTTTGTGCGTGTGTGTTGTCTGAGAGCTCAGACCATGTGTAAGTCATCCAGGTTAAGCATCATCTGCTGAGCAAAGGCATCGCCATTCTTCTTGGGCATACACACACACACACACACACACACACACACAAAGTGCCAGAGGTGTCCTTCCCATAATGCTTGCGGGATGGTCGCTGCGGTGTGGTCAATGCCACAGCCACTGTTGCTACAACAGACAGCTTTTCTGCTGTGGCAGGCTGTATTTTTATGGAGCAACTGAAAGAACGCTGACAACTCAAGAGCAGAGCTGCTTACAGTTACAGTGGAGAGACACAACACACACACACACACACACACACAGACACACAGAGGACGGGACATGGGGACAGGGATGGAAGAAAAGGTGGAGATGAGTACAATACGGCTAGAAGAGAAGAAAGAAAAGATAAGAAAGTGAGGAAAGGAGGGTGAAGAGTTGGTCGGATAGCAAGGTGCAGACCGACTAGGTAAGAAAAGAGGAGATGAGGGGGGAGGGGAGGGGGGGTTGCTGGAGTTGGTGAAGGAGGACTGAAAGAATGCTGACGTCTCCAGAGCTGATTAGCGTTACAGCGGAGACATCACACCCACAGCCGAGAAAAATGCTGAGTATGGAGGGAGGACGGGGTGGGGGGGGTGCAAATGACAAGGGAGAAAGAGGAGAAGAAAAAGAGAGAGGCAAGTGAGTCGGGTGGAGGAGAGAGGGGGGAACGGCAATGAGGAGGAACAGGACGGGGGGGGTGAAGAGGGGGTGGGAAAGCGTTTGGGTGAAAATGCATCCTCAACACATTTGTAAGAGCTTAGCTGTTGGGTACGGAGAGGGGTTGTGGAGGGGGGAGAGAGAGAGGGAGAAGCAGGGAGGGAAGGATGGATGGCGGGGGATTGGGGGCGAAAAAAACCTGGACTCAGCAACGACCACGACTAAAACCTCCAATTAGAAAAGTTCTGAAGCTGATCCAGTGCAATGAAACTACTGCTGACCATCTCTCTCTCTCTCTCTCTCTCTCTCTCTCACACACACACACACCTACACACACACAGAAAAAGCTTCACGTGCTGTCTTCTTGACAAATCGGGTCCTGGAGAAAGGATGAAAACGAGAGTAATAGTGTGACAGAAGGTGAACAGTGATCATGTGTTTTATAAAGATAGATTAAAGTGCACAAGAAACTGCACAAGACTTAAAGCGCGACTCTTTTCTCTTGTGCAGACGAACAGGATGATGAACTCTGTGTGTGTGTGTGTGTCTGGCTTCAGACAGAGCTCTAATTAATCTTGTTTCAGAGAACCTTTTGCTCTAGCCGCTGCCAACACACAGAGAGGAATTTCTTAGAAAGAGACTTCCTACTTAAAGCTGGTGGCATGCTGCAAGCACACACACACACACACACACACACACACACACACACACACACACAC